ATTTTTCCTAACAGATATTCTATCTAAATATGTGATAAAACTGAAGAAGGAAAGTCATTAGTATACCCCCCCCCCATAATCTGCATCAATTTTGTGACATATCACGCAGCCTAACCAGTCCCCCCCCCCCCCCGAATCTTTAAAAAAAATTGAAAAAACCTTGATCCATCTCAAAAAGCGAAATTCTCTGTTACATTAGTTTTGTGTTTTATTGGTGGACAAGTTGTGGTATTCAAACTCAAGCTGTACATTTGCGCATGTCCTCTTTAAGGGGAGGGGGGTTAACTTTGGTAACAAATATTTTTCGATTTGTTCACTATCATGTCTAGGCTTTGTTGTCATTTGAATCAACATCGTGTTATTTTTTAAGATGTAAAATAAGAGCACAGTCAAATTTATTTTCCAACAGATCCAATCATTCATAAATAACACCTCAAGTGGCGATGCACCACTGGTTCGATAGCTATTCAGAATATGTCGTTATAGCTACAGAAAAGACAATAATTACATAGGAATTTTTATTTTCTTTACAATAAAACAATACAATATATAAGTTGTAACAAAGTATAAATTATTACTTGAATTTGCAGACAAAGCCATTTGAAAGTCAGTGGATGTATGTTGGGTCACGTGATCGTCTTGATAGAATCCCAAGAGAAAACTTGTGATTGTCACGAACATTGTCACGTGCCTGTCACGAGAAATGCCGGAGCGCATTGAGCACAAATATTCTTGTCGTAGCACATTTCAATCACCAGTGTACAATCGAGCATCAAGTTTAGTCGAAAAGTTTGTTATACATGTAAAGGTTACCCATCAGCTGCCCATAGTTACTGTATCCAAGGTTATACCCATGATTGTATCCATGGTGACGGCGAGGCCTGTGATAATATTGAGGTCTATAATGATGACGGCCCCATGGCCTCCATCCTCCCCACGGTCTGCGGTAGTTGTTCCACATGTAGGGGGAATATCGCCCCCAGTCATCGTAATAATCGTCAAAACGATCCCATAGATTGTCTCCAAAGTCCTCAAACCTATCCCCCCAATCGTCCCACCACTGGGCCGTGGTTATAGTTACACTGACCAGCAAGATCAAGATTTCTATCCTCATTTTGTCTGGGGATCCGTGGAACTTAGAGGAACTATAACTGGTAAAATTCCTCAACGTGATCAAGACAGAATGAAGTGGGGTTGGTGTTTATATACATGCGACAAGGACGTGCGGGTGTGTTTAGTCATTAAGGAACAAGTATGAAAGAGACGTTAACAATGATTAAGACGAGGAAAATAGCCATTTGTTTATTGACAAAAAGAGTACTGTACACACTTCTGTCGGAAATATCACCTGGCGACACTCATAATGTCCATTATATTCACTTCGGTGATAAATATGAATGGTACTAAAACGAATCGCATGTAAATTTGTTCAGGAAGAAATAAAACACAATGTGCTTTGAATTCCACATAAACATTAATTCCATAACTCGTAGGAAGAACATAAAAAATGTCAGCAATTTTGTAGGAATATTATATATACCTAGACAAAATTCATTGATGAGAAGATATTTTTAAGGACCCTCTATACACCAGAGGAAAATATTTTTTGGACATTGAGAAAATTATAGTGTGTTAAGGTTTAAATATTGAGCTTATCTATCACATTTTCAACATAGGGTACCTTGCATTTACCCCCAGGAAAAATGTTCAAAGACAATGAAGTACTGATGAACAGAAATCATTGTTGTTTACTTAAGTCGGCAAAATACCTGCAAATGAAGTGTTCAATCTATTTTATCTTGGCCTATTAAAATGTTATAAATGCTTGATTTGATCACATATTAAGTAATAAACTCTACATTTCAATTTATTTTATTCTTAATCAAAGGACAGATAACTCTATCTGCATAAAAATACCACAAAAATCAGAACTCTTTAGTGTGCAGTGTATAGAGGGTTTTTAAGTAATTTAAGTAATTGCATTCAGATTAAAGGCGACTTTCAAATTTGTCTATTGAAAAACAACATAACTATTAATGATAATAATAACCCCCCTAACAAATGGTAACCTTTTATCATGTCAATCATATCTATCATATAATCATTTTTAATATGTCAGGTGCTTGTGATTGTATAATAATTATAAACATATTGCTGGCCTGCAAGGTTGCCCACTTCCCGTAGCCCTATTCTCCATGTAAGCTAATATGGGGGAGAACATTTCAGTGAATTCATCTTAAATCATGCATCAGCTGATGTTGGAGATGGACACCTACACTATCACATCACTTCAAAGTATAGGTATAGAAAATCTTCGTACAATGTAATTTGTCATGACCCACGTTTAATGAGATCTGTATTCAGCTAAACATGTACAGTTGTTATATTGCTGTTTTATCGACCGCAGTGTCCTGGTACGAACGCCGAAGAATCCACGGAGAAAGGAACAGTTGTTTTATTGGACGAAGTCGTAAAAAATCCACCAGTTTTGAATGCAACAGTATAAGATACTTTTAAATGGACAAAGTCGCGTACGGCTTTAATTTAAAACTGGATTGTAAAACAACAATATTCAGAGTAATCAATTTCTCCTGTTGCAATGTACAAAGCAAACAATTCCATGTGGATTTCTTTTATTCTTTTTTTATAGTTTAGTATCTTGCGTCTGTAGAATAAATGGGATGGTCATCATTTTAAAAAATCAAAGAACTTTCCTAATTCAATTTCTTATTTAATTTTGGTAATCTTAAGAGTGTTTCAGGAGATTTTTTTTTCAAATTAAGAAAAGGGCTTTAATTTTCTGCTTGCACAAATTATTATTTTCCCATTGCAATTGTATACAACTTTTTTTCTTTTTATTTCGTTATATCTGTGACACGTTTGTTATAGTTTATATATATACAACTCCGTTTTTCATTTGTTATTATATATTTACATTTTGTTATAGTTTATAAAAAGGAATCATCCTTGAATAAAAGAAATCCTAAACCAACATATTATTATGTTGCAAAATTTAAATTTACCTCCACCTAGTAAATTCAAAATTTACAACATGATAATATCCTCAGCTGATATCCATCACTGAATCATTTAAAGTTCGTCTTACGTTTAGTTGTATTTTGTATTTTATAAATACTGTGGCGCGTGTTTGTTGACGTATTTGACGATATTCTCCCTCATTCTATCAGCTCAAAAGTTACTAACAAAAAGACAGTTAATAATAAAATATCGTATAGTGATAACTTCTGACATGGATTTGTTCAAACAGGCTGATATATATTTAAAAAGTAACGTGTATTACATGTAATTGATAGGCTATTAATGTTCACGCCCTTCACATGTCCAGTTAAAGGTCCCAGTCCCTGTTGGAAATTGACTCTTCTTTTCTCATAAATTAAGGTAAAAATTGACAAGCAAATTGAATTTTCAGTGCTTTTAAAAGAAATCTGAATTTTCAGATTGCAATAGTTGACAAAACTTGTGGACAGTGGCTAGGCCTACAATCTAAAGTGCCTTTTTTTAACAGTAAAACGCCAATCCCTTAAATTTTGGTTTAAATTCGTAACAAATGGCTTTAAGTACCAAAAAGGATCAATATTAAGCCTGATATATATAAGGCTTCTTTCGATTATGGCAAATTGTATAATTTGAAAAGGAAAACAAAACAGGTCTATATTCAATGCATGTAGAGGGTATTCAATGTTTTTTAGCTGAATATGAAATTTATTTCACGAGTGGGACAGAATTTTTTTTTTATATTTTCACAAGTGAATTTATCCTGTCTTACAAGTGAGAAAAAATAACTTTATTAAGCACAGAATAAATAATAATAACAAAATAAATCAATAACATGTACAAGGCCGTTGTCCCAAATTTTTAGTGAGGCAAGGGATCAAGGGGCCGCTCAAATCCCAAGCGAGTCCAGGGTAGGGTCCTGATGAGGGTTCTCGGGTGAGGAGGGGGTCCTGAAACCTGGATTTTAGCAAATTAAGACTCATGCAGTCTTTGAAAGTTTTCATGTTTTCAATTATTTTTACATGCGTTCTAAATAATAATGAAGCACCTGGTGAGATGATCGATTTACATTTTAGCTGAAAGTATTAATTTAGTACAAAGAAAAACATAATTAATTAAAGTTCAAAGTAAAACTTTTTCACTTTTCAGAGAAACCAAAAAATTTTAGTGAGGCATTTGCCTCACTTGCCTCAATTATAGTCACGGCCTTCAGTTATATATAAATAAAAATGAACATGGAACAAACTGCACAAAACCAGACTGATTTTTGTCTAAATTCTCTCTATCGTGACCCACAATTGTGACCATAATTATGAAGTAATCGATGCGATGGTGCTTGATTGACATATAGATTGATTGATTAATAGTATCCCCGTGGCCAGCTTTGATAAAAATGCAAAAATCGTGGCTGTTTTATTTGATGAGTAATGCTAGATGTTCACATTGTCACTGGATAAGCTCTGCTAGCTCTGACAATCCAAAATTCTGCAGATATATGAGGCACAATTTTTGAACTTTTGGTCGTATATCAAAAATTCGACTTCTTAATATCAAATTATTTCGGTATAAAAAAGAAGAATTCTCGATATGTTAGGAAATCAGTTTAAACAAATCGCTTTAACCAATGAGAAAAATCCCGAGGTAAACAAAATTAACGAATTCTTGTTTCGAGCGAAAATGTATGATCTGTACTACATATCATACATTTTCGCTCGAAACAAGAAAATTCTGTAGGGTTTTAAAAAAAAAACTTGCATACACATGTAGGGTCAAAAATATGGCACCATTTATCAAAAATGCATATTTTGATAGAACCCAAACAACACTTCATGAACAGTTACTATAAAATATAGTGTCATCGGATAATAATTATGTGTATTATTTTTATGCAGTAATCCAAAACTGAAATGCATTTCTAGCGCTTTTCCGGGAATATACGGGCTGTGCGTTTCCGATTTGATATTAGCGCGCGAAAATTAGCATATTGTTTATCAATGGAGTCGAAGATTTGGGCAGGAGGGTCGAGTTGCAGATTATGAGCATTTGTAAGTATATTTCTCGGGATAAAATGTTAAATACCGTTTTGATTGTGAAATTGAAATGTAAAAAGTTGAAAATTTATGCATATTTTTTCAGCGCTAGATCCGTAAAAGAAACAAAAATGGTTGCAATGGAAGGTGAAACACTGAATCAGTATCTAATACGTTTAGATTCTTAGATGAACGTAGAAATGTGTGACACTCACAATACAACATTAATAAGTGGCATAGTCAAGAGTTGTTAAAACAAAATTGCAACTGAAAAATTGAATTCAATGATTAAGTAACTCACTAACACACACATTTTATACCGAGGTTAGGTACAGACGACCACACTTAGGGGCCTAGGGGCGTATGTTGATAAACTTACGTGATCTGCTGTTGCATAAAATTTATAATTTTATGCTGAATTTCATTGTTTAAAGAAATTCTTTATACTTTTTAAAATTCTATTGATCAAACCTATTCAATAAACAGTCTGGTCGAACCCCCGAACGGGGGTAAACGGAAATGGGAAATCCATACCCCCAAACGGGGGTACGAGCATGCGCAGATGCTTAAAAATGTGCGTATTTCACGCAAAAAGTAGGGGTTTACAAAAATCGCCGGTGCAGAGTAACGGATTATTTGGCAAATGTAAAACCACTCGGAAATGATAGATTAAAGGTGTTTTTAGAGTTTGTATTTTACAAAAATACAACTTTATTGTACAAATCGGGATTTATTCCCTGGCAAAGTTGGCGATCTTTTGCTCCTTGACATGCAGGTATTTAAGATAAAATATTCGATATACAGACATAAACAACTAATATTAAATTGAAATTATAAAAAAAAATGTATTATTCTACCTTATATCTTTTATTTTCATAATAAAATGCAAGAAAAAATGGTGCTAATATCGATTTATTTATGATCGTAGGTTTCAGTCCGCGTTTCCTCTGACTAGCAATCGACGGTCTTTATTATCGATAATCTTGCCCAGGAAGTGTAACAAAAATACATATAAAAATAAAATTCAAATGAAATCTATCATATTTATTGTCTTTTATATCTTATAAGAATTAAATAAAATGTTTGGCAACTTGTTGTAGTTTTTTTTTTAAAATAAATACGAATGTTTGGGGGAAAACAAGATTATATTTTATTTTATTTAAATCTAGATTCTAAATTAATATTTTCCTCATTCTTAGAATATTTTTCCTTGTGTTTTAATTCCATAATCTTAATTGAGAAGTCCAACAAAATAATAAATAATTTCATGAAATGAAGGAATTCCTACAGTATAAATTCAAATTATGGAAAACTTAACCTGTTGATTTTTTTTTCTGTTGACATTTTACCAAGTTCATAGCAGAAATAACATTATTATTGATCTTTTTCCTAAGATAGATGATATAGGCAAGTTTGTTTATATTGGATACAGCAAGAGTTACTGTTCTTGCGCATTGCATGACGGGACGGAAAACCCTCGTTTGGGGGTATACCCCCGTTCGGGGGTTCGACCAGACTGATAAAACAAGCCCTTCATAAATGCACCCCACCCCTCCCTACATGCAGCTCTCATTTGTAAAGTTCTAGCTAGGTTATAACTATGACAGTGTCTAGTGATACTAGGAATCATTGATTGATTATTTGTTGTTTTATGTCCCATTCTAGCATTTTTCACTAATAAAGAGACATCACCATATAGCAGTGAAGGACTTCAAATTTAGACCAAGGCCATTGAGCCGTGAGGGGTCTTTATTGTGCCAACACCCTGCCGTGACATGAGGCCTTGATTTTTTTAAGGTCTCATCCAAAAGACCCGCAACTTACACTCCAAAGTGCTGAGCGCTTGGCGAAAGAACAGTTGCTACCTATTTTTTATTGACTTAATAGGTCAGTCAAGGAATAATTTCACCCGTCAGATGTTTGCTGTATGCAATATACAAATGGTCAAGAGTGACACTAATATTTTACCACCATACCTTTGCCATTTTGAGAAGTAATTGAATTTGTTTCGGAATCTAATGCAGATACTATTGTAGTCTAGACAGCTATTGATTTTCATTGTGCTGGCAATATGCAGTTCCACATAATTAGTTCTTGTACAATACGTTTATCCATTTGACTATGCTGATACAGAGCTTACTCTTGACTATGTGTTTCCTTTAATTCATTTTTTTTCACTTAATACACTTGATTATAATATAAATAATTACAGCTCACTGGTAATTAACTATTTAGATTTTTCTTTAATGTTCATGATAATCTTGAAGACAGACTTATGCAGTATATATACAAACTTTTACTCTTAAATTATTATTATTAAGTTTTTTAACTTTCACTCAATCACTGACCACAATTGATTGATACAGTTTTGGCCAACAACTCCTGTGATTTCATTAATTAGGCTAACTACATCATTAAATGTTTGATTATTATCTGTTTATTTTAATCATTGCTTATTAATATTTAACATTTTAACATAAAAGCTGAGAAGAAATGTTAAATCTAAGAATTAACAAAATGTTATAAAAAACGGGGGTTTAAATTTTTGTTTGTTTAAATTTGTTTGTTTTTTAAAGACAATTTAGGTATTAATAGCGATTCTCTGTAACCACTTAAACTTCTTTGCCACGCATGGTCACCGATTTTGATGAAACTTTGCACATTATTACAACTTGACACCAGAAACATATATCAAATAAAATTTTGTTGCTATGTGTCTTGGTTGCCATGGTAACAGCCAGAAAAGTTGGAAAAATTGAGATTTTCAGCTACTTTGAATCTTTATTAAGCCTAAATAAAGACTAAGAATAACAAACAAACAATTCTCACAAAAAACTGACACCTTGTTGCCACTAATGCTATAAAGAAACTATTTAGAATTTATCTCTAAGTAAGTGGTAACCATGGGTACATTTGGAATACATTTTAGATGCTGAAAAATGCAGAAAAATGTTCAATATTCACTAATGATAGGTGTTAAATGATCAAACTCAATCAACAACCTAAGAAAAAACAATAAAAATATTTGACCTTAAGTAATTAGGTATTGGCAATATTATTCTAAAAATAACTTTTTCATGGTTGCCATGGTAACACAATGTTACCATGCTAAATGTGTTGCTAAGATTGGGTAAATGCTACTATCTTCAGGAAAAACAATAAATTTCATGACTGGCACATATACATCCTTAGGACCTTGCAACACCGACAACATAAGAAAAAATGGGATTAATTGTTACTTTGCAGTGTAACCATGGAAACAATGTACCAGTTGTTTAAAGTGGTATTTTTTTTGCTGCATTAGGAATTTACTTACCTTTTATTCAAGAAACGTATTATTTGACTCACCTTGAATAGTACTTATCTGGTAGAACTAAAGTTGAATATCATATATTGATAACGTTTGTTGAAAAATACAACACTGTTGCAATGGTAACCAAGAAGAGAAAATGTTTGATTTTGTTAATTTTATATCAATATTAAACCCTATGTGCCAGCTTTTTGCATCCAGTTAGAGATTACGTGGCAGTCAAAATTGAAAGTCAGCTTAGTTGTTCATAATTATCAATCATAAAAGTTTTGGGAATCTACATACAAGGGTACGTATCCAAGGAAACAGAAAATTTTTCAGATTTTTTTGCATATTTTTTCGGCTTATTTCCATAGCAACGCTCTATTTAAAGAATTGAATTTGAGTTTTTTGAAATGTGAAAATTAGGGTCACATGAACGTCTTTAAAAATTGATCATTAGTTATTTAAAAATATGCTTTTTAAAAAGATAGGATTAGATTTAAACACTAATAGAGTAAATTTAAAATCCCTTCTTGGTATTAAAACCATGGCAACCATTGCCAACCTATAAGAAATATCATATTTCTTCCTTGGTATATGTTACAAGGATCTTTTGTCTATTATTTGCTTGCATTTCAACCTATATTTTTTTTTTTATTCTTAAGTGTTTGATTTTATAAAATTAAATGAGCAAAATTATTACTTTTGAATACTTTGTTTCCATAGTAACGTATGTAATAATTGATTTACCAAACATGTTTATCATGCATTAAAGACATCAGGCCTACAACTTTCAGAAACAATCATTGCCACTTGTTTGCTTTGCTGCAAACGTTAACTGTGGGACTCTGAACATGTTGAAAAATGCCATTTTTCAAACTTCAGGACATGTTGCCATGGTAACCATGACACGTAGCAACCAATTTCTGCCTGATTTGAGTTTATGGTATCAAAGACTTTTATCATAGAGAGTTTGGAGAAATTCTGAGACTATGCGTGCCACAGCTCCTATATAAAAGTTCAAGTCGTTACAGAGAATGGCTCTTAATTACTAAACATAGGAATTAAGCAGACAGTAAGGGGAATACATCAGATAGTTTCCAAGCCTGGTTATTTAGATGTAGAGAGTGAAAAGGGAGTAATAGATTTCGAATAATAATTAATTAATAAATAACAATTATTGCTTGAAAAAGAAAATGTCATGTTATCTAAACAACAGTGCAATTGTTTATATTTTTACAAGCACAAGTCATTAAAAGTATATTTAGACCAGTAAGAGGTCCATAAGTCATTATATTAGTGTACATTCAAGAACTTAGAAGAAATGCTTTAGATTTTTGACAAGTCAAATAAAATAAATATGTATACGAAAAAAAAAAATATAATAAAGATAATATATAAAAAAATGTTTTAAAAATGAAAAAAAAGGAGGGGAGATATCTATTTGGTTTAAAATTCCATTATTGACTGTACTCTTTTTCACTGGAGAATTTTGATGACAGGAAGCACTTTATCACTTGATTATAAATGCGTTTCCACTGACTCTAACTCAATGAGGAGGGGCAAATTGATCAAATTTTAATTCATCAATGTAATTGTTGGTGATTCCACAGAGTACTTACTTTATTATATAAATACAATGGTATAAACATATTGAAATTTAAATAAAAGTCTCACAAATGGTAGAGAATTATTTATTATTTAATTGTAGTCAATACTTCAATTTTCCTGGGTTGAATAGAATTTAGATTATTTGAAATTATAAGTAACAAAACCATGCACTCATGTTTGTAGTTTATGCACAACTGCACTATCATGCACTTACATGTATTAATTAACAACATTTTCATTGCAA